CCGCTCTGCTCCAATCCACCTCATTTCCATCAGTCACTCTAGCAATACTCCCGACCTAAAACACGTTTACGCAATTTCTCCCAACTACATCAAGTGCTATACGCCGCAAAACAAGTGCGTCGACGCTGCTGTCTAAAGCACTCTAGATACGGGACTATTACTAAGAACAATCCCTATCTAGCTCCACCTGACTACTATCCTCTACTTAAACATACTCTAACATCACATAGGTTACACAAGGCCCTGTTCTTACCTCCTCACAGTTACGAGAGGTCTATCTGATGGAATGCTTATCATATAAAACCTATGGTCCTCATCCGAATATCTTCCCCTCCATACATAACATGGATAATTTTTTTCTGACCAATTATATTGTTACTCTGGGGATATTCGCAGCTGACGTTAGCGATCCCTGTTTCAGACGTGGGCAGTACGGCCTGAAGGAATGACCTGCATAACACAAGCTTACTGAGAAGAAGAGCCGAGTAGAGAGGAGAGGAGAGCAGAGAGAGTAGACAGAGAGGAGAGAGGAGCGGAGCAGAGAGAGGTAGAGGCAGAGAGAGAGAGGATGAGAGAGAGAGACGAGGAGAGAGAGATGGCAGGGAGAGAGAGAGAGAGAGAGAGAGAGAAGAGGAGAGAGAGAGAGAGACGAGAGAAGAGAGAGAGAGATCGAGAGAGATAGCAGAGAGAGGAGAAGAGAGAGAGACGAGCAGACGAGAGAGCAGGAACGAGAGCCGTACGGCGTTCTTAGCGATTGGGAGATAGCGGAGGAAGCAGACACGCGAGAATGAGACTAAGGAGGTAGGCCAAGTCAGAGAAGAGAGAGGAGAGCACGACGCGACCAGACAAGAAATACCAGATAAGAGAGAGCAGAAAGGGAAGTATATGCCACGAGAGAACTAGCAGAGAGATAGCAAAGCTAGAGAGACAAGAGAGACGACGGAGAAAGAGAGACGAGATGATGAGAGAGAGCAGAGAGACGAGTAGCAGAGAGAGCAGGGAGAGAGCATAGAGCAGAGAGAGGATGGAGAGTACAGACGATAGAGAGAGAGAGAGAAGAACGAACGAAGAGAGTGGGAGACACTGAGGAGCGGCATGCAGGCAGGAAAGTTAGGGCTGTAGAGTGGACGCCGAAATATAATTGGGCGTTGAGCGAGGGACGAGGGAGGCAATGGATAAGGACGGGAGGAACAAATAAGTTAGGAGTTTTGCACCCTACATGTGCTATCGGGTGCTCCTCGACGCAAGTTGTATTAATATGTAGTTATTCCTTGTCATCCGTTAATTTCTCGTATGTTATAGGATTTTGTGGCACAGCGCGTGCGCGCGCTATATACTTGTTGTGTAATTCAGCTGGAGGAGCACTCTGAAACGATCATTACAGAAAATTATGGCAATAATTAACTGTGCCTAAAGAGAGTAATGAGCAACATTACAAGACTTTGTTTGGATATAAGAACACATTTCGTGTTTAGTTACCTATAATGTTACTATTAAAAAAGTCTCTAAGTGCGTGTGCGCGGCGGCCTGACAAGACAGATGTGACGTCCAATGACAGTGTTCCGCGTCCACGAGGCGTTGAAATGAAATATGCCGTGGACCCGTGTTTGTTGATGTCTTTGATTCACACGATCAATAAAATGGCCACAAATTTCAAACCTTTGTTTCACAAATAAATTTGCATTTTATTTTTACGATGTACACTTTAATAAAAATTGGTGATCGCCGCGCACCAAACACATTGCGGACCCGCGACAAAAAAACGGCGATGGACAGGACTTTATAGCGGTGGCGCAGTACCATCGCGCTAACCAAGAAGCGGAAACTCGAAGACCCCCAGCCGTGAACAGAAGGTTTTGAACAGCATCGCACACAAACATGCGGCGTGGTGATTGGAACTCACAAAATACAAGATTATGTCAAGATTTTAAAGTAACATCTGAGGTAGCGGTATCATAAATAGGAACTTAGCATTAAAGATATCAAAATGTTACAGAACGGAACATGTGGAAGTGCTCACACGTTTGCCACACGTTTTGGTTACTGTTTCATTTCGTGGTCAAATAGTGAAACAGCTTTGATCAACAACAGTGACACTAGCGTATCAGTAGGCCTAGTCACGAGTCCATAAGGGTTCTACGCGTAGCTATGTCCACACGGCAGGGTACTAGGCCAGTAACGTACCCTGGGCGCTGGTACGGTCGCCGTATAACCGGAACGACCACTGGTCACTTAATGGTTAAGATTAGGTTTCGTGTGTTAGGGCGGGTGCTGTAAGGCGACTCCCGAGAAACTCCGTTAGTGGAGTAGGCGAGGTACGTCCGGCATAAATGACTTAGATAGTACCAGGGACGTTCCGCAGTACACCGCGGCTGGAGCATGACGACCCCTCTTCAGCCAAACAGTACTTATAGGCTCCCCTAGAGCGCTAGTAACTGCTGAGAGGGTCTATGTCCCCCCAGGTACTAGCGGAAACGTCACCCTGGGTACGGTACCAGTAACCGGTATACGCGTCCGGCATGTGACCCTGGGAAGAGAGAGACCCTCTATGAGCCCTAGTACTAGTAGCAAGGGTCCTCCCAACTACGTGCGCGCTACATATTATTAGGCGCTGGCGCCATTCGTAAATTACGTCGGCCCGTTTCAAATCGTTAGAACGCCCCGTTTAATTAGCTCGTCCGCCCGATTCAAATTCCACGACCACAATAAAAAAGTTTCAGCACGAGCTTGCATGGAACAGAGATGTCGCAGTGCAAGAATTCCCATCCGCGAGGACACCTTCTCGGAAGTGCTCGTGTATATTTTATCAAAGTATCCGAACGCAGCACTGCAGACTCAAGCACACAATACACAACAGTTAGCCTGTCCGCGAACCCCAACACTAACCTGTACAAACGCCGACTGCGGCTATCTATATATACAAGAACGCCGCCCCCAAATACCGTCCTATGGTGTGGTGGCAGATTTTACGCATTAATTAGTGGTACGGTAAAAAAACACGCCCCCCGGACCCCCCTAGATACCCCTTCCTTCCCCCCTTTAGCCCCCCCCCCCACCTCCCCTCCCCCCTGTTTCAATTTCATCCTGGGGAGAACCCTGAGTAGTAGCTATTCTCAACACGAACCTTTCTCCGCTATCCTGGAACTTACTATGTATCACAATACTCTGTATTAAAGTAATATAACGTGTTACAAAAATTCGAAGTGACGGGCGGCGGATATGTTGAGCGCCATTTTTGTTGACCTGTGACGTACGCATTCCCAATGCACATAGCGTTCGGTGGTGCCCGAGGCACAGCCGAGGTGGGCCGAACGCTATGGCCATACGCAATGCTATCATCAGTGATTTTGTAAACATGGACGCTCGTGATAAGGAACTTTTTGTCAGGGCTGTCCTCGAGCGTCTGTGATTAGTACGTGTGTTTTACTCTATTTCCATGTTTAGTCTGTGGCCGTGGTTACACCGCTGACACCTCCATTTCATCTGGCGTCCAAAACATACGGGCTGCACAAATGTTTACGTCATTGCTTGACTCCTGGATGACATTTACGGCACGTAAATGATACGTTGATACATATCAACAACTGATTTCAAGTCTTGCTTGTAATGTAACCAGCAGTGACATTGGACAAACTAATACGCATTTGGCTATAAGGTAATGTACTTATTAACTACACAAGGTGCTAGTTACTCTAGCATTCGTCAACATTGCATAATCGATGGGCCTATTATTCCTTTAATACAGAGTATTGTGATACATAGTAAGTCCCAAGATAGTGGAGAAAGGTTCGTGTTTAGAATAAACCCAGTTTGGAAGTTGTAGTCTCGAAAAACGCACCATAAAACTGAATCACTCAGGGGCTCCTCCAAAGAAAAGAATAGGCTCGCGTTGTGACCCTACTCTTGTTGGGTTACATTATTGTATCTAGGACACTCCAACTTCCAAAAAACCACAGGCACTTGGAGCGTTTCAATAAAATATAATGCTAAATAAATACGAAATCTATTTACTACCAAAGTCTTAATGTTTCTCTACATTCTTTCACCTATTATTGCCGACAATTTCCTGTAAATGCCGTCCAAATGCTCATCTGCAACAAACGCTGGCTGCCGCTGCACACTGACAGTGACACAAATATAGAGTAATATATAAATTATATATATTACAGGGTGCGAAATTAACGGGAGTCCGGAGTCAAATACTTCCTGATTTACTGTCGGACTCCGCTACGCGGCAGCACCAGATTGTTACTATGGGATGCTGGGGGCTGTTGGGGATATTAGGTATCGAATTATATGCAGTGTGTATTGTGTTTCCAGCGTGCTACACAGAGTAAAATCCATTCATACATCCATCAACCTCTCCGAAATGCTAGTAAACTAAACGTTATTCTGACTTTTCACAGTGTCACTCACTTAACTAATAATTGCTTTAGGTAGCCACTTAAATTATCTGTTACAAAGTGAGATTTATTCAAACATCATTTATACAGGTAACTTTCATTCACACGTCACTCACACATGGTCCCATTCAATTATATCTAATTCTAGTCTATCCCTCATTCATTCGTGTATATATTGTAGACAGCTTTAACCAATCTTTATACATTAACCAATCTTCCATTGCCATTCATTCACACATAATTTTTGTGTGTAATTCCTCTTCACAGAGTACCGTTGATTCTCATGATATTCCCATGCACTGAGCACCATATTAACTCAGCCATTATTCGCTTTGAGTGCCAATATTTCTAACAGAGTATGATGCACTCACACACATCTCTCATTTAGAGTAATAGTGATTCACTTATCATTTTCTCATTTAGATGCTATTAAATTATGTAAGTAGTTTCAGCATGATGGTACAATTAACCTCTCCAGCTTGTATTATATCAGAGATTAACTGCAAACTGTGGTTCCTACAGGAAAACTATAAAGCATTGGTTACTGCACTAGACCACAATGACTGGACCATGCATTGCATGCAAATAAAGGTGTGGTAACTGCTGCTCTAAAAAATACTGGTCCTTCGCATCTCATTCTCTCAGTGGTATTTATGTACCAGAGTTCATACAATCATGCAATTTATTATTGCATATATTGCATATATAGCATATATTGCATATATTGCAATTAAATATGCAATTTATTATTAATACCAATTGGAATACCAAACTTGTTTATACATAATTATGTAATATTTTAGTTCATAATTGGTAATAATTTACGATTTTGTCCTGATATTATTGTGCAATTTAAAAATATCAGCTTACACACATGTTTGCCTCATATATCATTATGATTTACAAATATTGTATCAAAACATATTCTTGCCTGCAGAAAATAAAAATGATAAAGATTATGCACCATGCTCACAAATCAAAACTGCCACAAAAAACGCTCAGCAAACAAATGAAACAAATGCATAGGCATTATAAGCTCTGAATATAATACACAAAGCTTTTTGGAGTTAGTAGCAACAACACCGGCGTAAAACATTAAGAGAACATCTCCATTCAGACCATCTCACCTAACTCTGAATACACACGGTAACTACTGCCATAGTCGATAGCTACGTTAACATGAATATTAGAGGGCACTAAAGGGACTTAGCTTTATATAGAAAAGCATGAGTAGCATGTTAATGTGGATCCCACTGCGCACAGGAGATAAATCACACACATCCACCTCAGCATTCAATACTACTAAAAATATATGCTATGTAATACTGAACACGTACAATTCCCAATTCATGAAAACGGATCTATTGTAAAAGCTCCTATCTATTGGTGTGATTGTGGCCTGACCACTGTACAATATTGTACATCACGCTCCACACCGGTACACTGGACGCCGGCATTAGGGGCTTACGTCAGTCAGTACGTACCACAAGGGCGCAATCTACAGCGAGCAAGCTATCAAACTGTTATGACTTATACATTTACAACTGCTGGTTTTGATCTGCTTGCACGCAGTCTAAACGACCTGTCAATGGTGACAGCTGTTGCCTGAATCATACTATGATTAGTAGCAAACAAATGATGAAGAAAATCGACAATCGGATCGTAATAAATTTGTTTTCGATCAGGTCATAAATGGAGAAATTCTCAACCGGTAAGCAAACTACTGCTGTCGTAGAATATCAATTGGGTAAACAAAACAATGTGGTTAGAGTAATTTGTTAATTAATAAAAAGTATACAACAATCTCGGACAACCCATGATGTACTCACCGGTAACGTGCACGTATACACACTCTTCTGTTCAGTGCAAGCAAAAGAAAATACACGCACTTTAAACATTAACTCAACCTCGTTAAGAAGATATCATGCTCCCAGAAGAAGTGACATCAAAATTGATATAGAGAATGCATCCACTCTCCTACACCTGGATAGTTACATATGCCTATTGCATAAAGATACTATTTATTAAGAATGTACTGCTATTACTAACATTGACAATATTTTTAGTCGTACACACCACTATTAGCAGTACATCTGACGATACTGATAAAACAGTCATACAGACCTAACTATACACAAACAATCTGTTACAAACATGAATGAACTCACATCACATATTTGCTAAATCCCATATTAAAGACATATATACAACATGCACATATTTATTTATTTATCTAATCTTTTTTGACTGCTTGACTCTACAGAGTCAGATCATGCACGAAACATTACACAGGCTGAACAATAACTGTAAACATTATTATAAAATAAAGACACTCACGGTCACGTTGACGTATCCTTCCGATCCCTCAGCATCTTCTTCCTCTGCTTCCGGCTGAAACAGTATGATGATAGAAATGTACAATAATTGTTATGCGCAATAACTGTGCAAGAATGCTTACGTGCAATAGCACATTATACAAAGGTACGAGAATATTAACGGAGTCTCGGGGCATACAAAGATGCCTTGTAGTTGGATCACAAATTCTTTACAGAGACAGCAAACGAACATTTTGTAGCTGGGTACCCAAGATACCGCATAATATAATACAGACATAATTTTCATCACTTGGGTATTACGTCGACTATTAGATGTCACTTCAAACAGAAACGCCGAGAGAAAAAACTTTCAAGGCATGGTTTTTGATTCTACATTATAATACCTTGGTTTTAGTTTCGCGTTTCTGTACTGGCACCTCCGGCTGAGCCTTTTCAATTTTATTGAGATGGTGTGCTCGGTCTTTTACCGAAGGAGAGCCCCTACTGCTGTCACTGTCTGTCATGGCGACCTAGAAAATTGTGAAACAGTGCAACCCCATTATAATGCGATAATTTGAGTCCAGAAAATTCAATCATGTAAAATCCAGTGTAAAGTTATAGCGGGGTCATTATAAATTTAGTATTGTGTATTTATGTTAGTATTATACTAAGCTATTTGTGAAAAAAAAATTTTCTGACCAAGGCACATTCAGAATACATTCACAAGTCATTGCGCAAGACCGTAGAGCACGATTTTACTACACAAACGACCGAACCTCTCACATGCCACAGAATAAGCTTGAGAAATACCATCTGGATCCTTAACCACGCCCTTACCAGAAATCGCTCCCGGATTCAAACATCCAAGAACCATTTCGCATCACGAAAAACACATTGCCGTTAGAAATCGCTCTCTCCCGCCCAGCATCCGTTAGTTCGGCGATATCGCGACCTACCCTGGTGAGACTCCGATATCGCGACCTACCCTGGTGAGACTCCGATATCGCGACCTACCCTGGTGAAACTCTCGTGCATGGGAGGCTGGGAACTTTCCCGTGACGTAGACGACGTGGTGCTAGCCAAACTCATCGTGTCCACGGACTTAGCATCCTCCTCGCTCCTCGATGGCTCAGCCTCCTCTGCCTGCAGGAGAAACAATGATGCACGCGAGGCTTGAAGCTAACGCTCGCCTGAGGCTAGTATTGTAAGGGCCAGTAGGCAGGGTTTGAAACCTATGCTCGCCTGAGGCTAGTATAAATCTGTAAGGGCCAGTAGCCAGGGTTTGAAACCAATGCTCGCCTGAGGCTAATATAAATCCGTAAGGGCCAGTAGCAAGGGTTTGAAACCAATGCTCGCCTGAGGCTAATATAAATCCGTAAGGGCCAGTAGCAAGGGTTTGAAACCAATGCTCGTCTGAGGCTAGTATGAATCTGTAAGGACCAGTAGCATGTCTTAGTTGACCAACCCTGATGGCGAGTGCCGGTGATACTCAAATCCTGTAACTACTTTTTGTGTGACTGATCCCATCTGATTTAAGTATTAAATTTGTACGTGCAAACGTGAATTTTATCACTCAATTAGCAAACGAAAAACTACGCACATCTGTCTTCGTTTAGATTTCGAGTACAGACATGCTATAACGACTTGATCATGACACGGTACACGAGTATAGTATACAAACAATAGAAAATGACATAATTCCTTGTAGCATGCGAAAACATGCCCATAATATATATAATTTTATATATATATATACATATCACGGGTTAATAATGACAAAATTTGTCATTATATAATCTACATACCAGCCTATCAATATTTCTGCCAGCAATACATTTATCTTTACTTTGAGTCAATTCTTCAGACATGTCATGAGAGATTCGCTTACCTCCCCCGACTCCTTCATATGCCTCTTTGGTGTGGCTTCTTCTACAAAATCCAGCTAAAATGCAAACAGAGATACAATCGATACCTAATCACAAGCATCCTAATCCTAAAGCCCGGCGCACACGTGAATTATTTTACTCAAGTAAAATTCCGCATGCATCAAATTACTCAACGAAAATCCGCCGCACACGTGAGTAAAATGACTCATGCGTCATTTTACTTGAGTAAAATAACTCGCGTGTGCGTCGGGCTTAAGCAACACTAACCACGCCCAAGTCTACCCACACTACACAACCGTTCACGACACACAACTGCAACCCTGAACTACTCAGCTGAAAACAAATACATCAACCGCCCCTCGTAAACACCACCACTATTTACACCGTTGCCGCGGCGACGAGCCGTGCACGAACCTTGGTTGGGTTGAGCTCTGGAGGAGACGCGTACACGGGCGGCGCCCTGTATCCGGGAGTCTCCCTCTCCTCGGGTGTGTAGACCGGGGGAGGCACGTAGGGAGGGAGCGCGTGCTCCTCTCTCTCGCTGGCCTCCTCTCTCACGCAGACCTCCTCCTCCTTCGGAGCCGCGGCTGTCGTCTGGGGAGGATGACGTACGAGTAAGCGTGCGAGAGTCTGCACGCGCTCTAGGTTGATGGCGTACACGTCCCGAGCGAAGCAGCCTCCCATGCCGCAAGCTCATGCCATCACCGTGTGCCATCGCGCACGTGTGCACCGGTGTTGTCACGTCGGGAACGTTCGAATACATTAGCGAGTGAACGAAGCGTGGAGGGGTCGCCACAGCGGGGAACAGAGTGAGAGTGAGGTTAAACATCACGGAAAAGTCTGATGTGCGTGTCTGAAGTGTCCGTTTAAACAAGAAGGGTTGATGCGCAGAACAAAAGCAGGTAAAGAATTTCCTCACAGATATTGTTGTGATTTATGTTTGGCACGATGGTGATTAAAGGTATAATAGGTCCATTGATTATGCAATGTTGACGAATGCTAGAGTAACTGGCACCTTGTGTAGTTAATAAGTACATTACCTTATAGCCAAACGCGTATTAGTTTGTCCAATATCACTGCTGGTTACTAAGAAATGTCTAATTGAAATCCGCAGTCCAAAAATCAGTTGTTTACAGTTTCAAACCGCTGCCGGCGAAGCGGGTGTGATACAGATATATAGTGCACCGGACATTTTCGCACACATGCTCGGCCGTACGCAATGCTATCATCAGTGATTTCGTAAACATGGACGCTCGTGATAAGGAACTTTTTGTCAGGGCTGTCCACGTGCGTCCGTGATTAGTACGTGTGTTTTACTCTATTTCCATGTTTAGTCAGTGGCCGTGGTTACACCGCTGACACCTCCGTTTCATCTGGCGTCCAAAACATACGGGCCGCATAAATGTTTACGTCATCGCTTGACTCCTGGATGACATTTACGGCACGTAAATGATACATTGATACATATCAACAACCAATTTCAAGTCTTGTTTGTAATGTAACCAGCAGTGATATTGGACAAACTAACACACGTTTGGCTATAAGGTAATGTACTTATTAAACTAAACAAGGTGCCAGTTACTCTAGCATTCATCAACATTGCATAATCAATGGACCTATTATTCCTTTACGAGTTGCTGGGAGCGATGTAGCAGATGTGCTGATGTGGTATCGCGGCATCTAAAACATGGCATTCTGGCGCATCAATATACATGCACTCAGCAACTGTACCTATTTTGAATGGCTCCCCATCACTGTAACTATAAATATTCATGAATGCATCACAAGTGTAACACATGTGTAGTTGTCGCCTCAGCTGTGGCTCAACAAGATCCTATTATATTAACAAACACCAGACATTGCCTCACATCATCTTGCACCAGATACCAGCAAGTAGTGCTAGGTATATTTATCTACCCATAGAGTAATTACCCTTCCAGCTACCCACTAGATGTGTAGTATAGATCTGGTTAACCACCATAGCCATACCACTGAGGCTTCCCACATAGTGTGGTGGCACTCTGATAATATATCCTATATGCAGGGCATGAAATTAGCACCAACCCACCGGCATGTGCCAGCAAATTATTTCGAGGGCCAGTAACATTGGCAAAACACCGGCCCTCCGAGTCGGTGGTTTCAGCCATGTTAGCGAGTACCTAGATTTTTATTTATAGCATTAATGAGCAAATAGCCTATATTACTGTTTTACCTGAAGGATATCACGCCATAATTTATCAACATTTTACAAATTTTAAATCGACAATGCAAGCGTGAAACATGACCATTGACAAAAACAATTCGGACATCATTCCCGATCTGCATTATAGTCTGTGCAACAGCTACTACACGATGCCGCACATTACAACAACTTTCGGACAAGCAAGTCAGTGAAACAGTCTTATCTTTATTTTTGAAAAAAATAAATTGTGAGTGCTGGTAAAAAACTGCTGTTGCCCTCTGGAAAAGCTCTCAAAATCAGAATTTCATGCCCCGTGCACGTATCATTTTCAAAGGGAAAAATCCATCGAAATGGAACCATATATGCCAGATATACATTCTCTTGTCGGACGGATACTAAACGGAGTTCCTCACCCGTGATTGGTTGGCGTCGGTGCGTACCAATGCTGCGAGTACAGCTGATTCGAGACTCGAGCCGGTATCGTCGCAAGCCGGCCGTGGCGTGGAGGGGACGCGATATTGCTTCTTGAGAACCATGATCTTCTCTCCATCCTGCATACGTAACAAGCACGCTGTATAAATAGTGCCTGTCCTCGAATAATATCTATGTAAAACTTACAATCATGTTCTATGGCTTTACGCATTGGTTTATGTATTTGCAATTCCTATTTCCTATTTCTTATTTACAGTTCCAATATATATATACAGGGTTCTCCCTACGTTGCGCAAACGGGGCGCGCGCGCCCCGTTTGGGAAAACTCCCCCCTGTTTGAATTTCATCCTGGGGAGAACCCTGATATATATATATATATATAAATATTTCAAGGGTAAAAATATATTGTAATTGTGTCATGACCGTTAGTAGACCGAATAACTCGAATATTGCGAATAAATAGCGAGTCTATCAGCCCTCCTGCAGCGCCACAGATACAAGCGAGAACCAGGCTATTGTAAGACTCGCTCTGATTGGTCTGATTGTTTGTAAATGGCGAATGTAATTTACTAAAGTGAAATAAAGCGGGGCCTGAAAAACAATCTTTTAAGAAGTGAATAACGATTGAAGTGAATGCATACACATATCAGTAGCAAGGTAAAGCCATGTAGAAGGGAACAGTAGGGTTTTTTTCACGCCAATAGCGGCGTACGGGCCGCATTAGCAGCGCATGCATTTTGCATGCGATCTCACGAAATTTCAATGAAACCCGTTCTGTCCCAATAACCCTCACCAAAATATAAAAAAGGTTATATGGGACAGAATTATTCGGTCTAGACCGTTAGTTACTATAACTTACTTGGTTCTGTTTCACGGTTGCTATAGTATTGACAAAGTCCTTGAAAGCTTCCCTTGCAGTAGCTATAGCACCAGAAAAAATATAATTGACATCGAAATATTAGGACATATGCGATGAAAAATGTATTTTTTTCTTCTTCTGGTACCTAGTTCACACGGAGTTCCGTATAAGGGCGTCAGTCCACCCTCTGCATAGAAGTGGTGTAAAATAAACTAAACTCTACAACATGAGTTCAACATTGTAGTTAACATGCGTCTAAACAGAGGGAATTGCTCCGACCTGTGATTGGAGGATGAAAATAGACCCGCCCACTTTTCCATTTTTGGAGGATAAAAATAGACCCTGCCCACTTTTCCATTTTTGGAGGATAAAAATAGAATTTGTGACGTTTCGTTTCACCGGTCATAGCCGTGCGTGCATATTTGCTAATTAATTAGACTAATCACGCTTCAACAAACTCAAAATTCACAGAGATTAAGACTAAGACATGTGTCTATAATAGCTAGAATTTATAGAAATGTAACTCAAATCGTTCGCTCCATATGATAGTTAGTACACGTTCCTACCGGTCATAGCATAGCGTATGCGGCGGGAGTGGGCGGGGTCTATTTTTATCCTCCAATCACAGGTCGGAGCAATTCCTGTTTAGACGCATGTTTGTGGTTATGTATTGTGGTTGAGGGAAAGGGTTCTGGTTAAAGATATGTGTAGGAATTATAGTTAAAGTTCTGGCAGATTTTAGTTTGTGTTACTGTTAGTGTTGCCAACTGTGCAGCACCGTAGAGTCTGTTGCGAGTCTGATTTAGTTATAATATTCAGTAACAAACACTAGAATTTATTATCACATTAAAAATTCCTGCATTTCACAATAACGCTTTGATTTTAAGCAAGGTTTCGCTACTTAACCTTTTGTTTCGGGGTTGTTTAAATACTTCTTGAAATGTGTAACGAGTTCGTGGTTCTTTGCCCGGCCTCCCCTTTCCATCAGGAAGTCCCTGATATCATCCTGGGTAAATCCGACGTCCATCTTTACAATTTTGAGGCTAGCCTATTGTACGACTAGCCACAAGTTGCCTTCTCGCGACGAGAAACAGTCGTGGAGCCTGGTCTGGCTATTGTACGACGTTTATCTACAAATTACATGCCATGGCATGGGCCCGTGCACGACACGGGAAGTCCGAGAACGCGCCCACACGTCAGATCAGTGTTGTTGTTCGTAATATCTATACTTAAAATTAAATGCCGAAACGCATTTGAATACACGATGTACTACTCAAGGAAACGCATGAAGCGGAAATTCAAATTGAGATCAAATCTGATCACAGAATCAGAGCATATACCAGAGCTCTGACAGAACTCAGAAAAGATTACAGAAAATCGGAAACGCAAGACTGCTCACGTCCTAACGACAGCCGTTGCGCCATCTATCGTGAAGCATTTCCAATTTTCCATCTAAGCGATTGACTTTTTACATACGACCCAGCGGACGGTTTAAGAAAATCACCGCGTATGTGCTTTTTTAACCGTTGCAATATACATATATCTTATATGAAATAACACTAAAATGCAGATTGTTATCTTTTTTTGTATTATTGCAGAAAATAGTTTAAGTCCTAAACTCTGAAATTGCGTGTTGCGGAGTGCACATTGCTGTGTTCCGTGTGGCGGATTTGCGCATATCGCGTTTGGAGTGCGACAACACATTGTAGCCTGTGCATAATTTATTATAGTGAGCGTATTGGACGTGTAATATATCCTTCTTCGTGTCATATTGAGTTACACACCTATCGCGAAAGCTGGGGTCGCTCGTGTTTCCAATGAGCGTCATTACATTAGGGAAAGTCGTTTACCACGTCGTTGCGACATATTTCATTGTGTATAATGTGCGCGCATTGACAGTATCTGCCATAATAATTATTATATTTGTGTGAAAAATACACAAAAAGTAGAAAGCACGTAAAAACTAATTCAAAAATTAAAACTGATGGTAGAGGAGGAAAAGGAGGAGAAAGAAGAAGGAAGGGGGGGAGGTGAAAGCGAGAGGTAAATGAGGTGAAGAGAAGCGGGTAAAATTACGTCGTAAAGATGATGAAAAATGATGGATGTATATATAAGGATATGGATAGGGGGGGGGGATATATGGAGAGCATTACAGATATCTGTCAACTCTTTCTAATTTCCGTGCAATATCTCTGTTGCTTGCACTCTCCGGCGTTTTTGTTTTTATTCGTTTTTATTATATTTTTTACGAAAATATTGCTAAATTTTTGCCGAGTGTTCGCGCTATCCCGGGCTTGATACGCGCTATCCGGACTAAGTTAGAAAACGAATGCGCGAGTACAGATTCAGGCGTGGAGTACGAACTGATGAAAACTGCATAATATAGCTTGCCGAGTGAGAGAGAAAGAGAGAGAAGGATGGGAGACTAAGAAAAGGCGACAGGAAAGGTAGGTATGTGGGCGCTGGCAGAAGAAGCAGACTGAGCGCGATGGACTAGGGAGGCAAGGGTGTGGACGGTAGGAGCTAAAGTAGGAGTTTTGCTTCCTCCAGGCTGGGGCGCTCTCCTAATTATAAGCGCAGGCCCACGAATTCAAATTTATTAGAAAATCTATGCTGAGATACCCCATAGCCATATTAAATGCATATATTTATTGCAAAATATAGCTCCTCTATTGAGATATTGCGCATGCGCTGACACACGAACGTAGCCAGATTGTGTACTGATTGGTATATGCAGCGGGGACCTTACATGCAAAGTCTTCTTCCTCTCAGTTACGAAAGGTCTACTGATGGAATGTTATGGATTTGTAACGTTGAATTAAGAGTTCAATGTATACATGATGATATAGAAATCCAAAGTTGTGTGGTAACCGGAATAAACTTTAATAACTGCTCGCACACAGTGTGTCCATCTTGCACAAAGACAACGCAACGTGCACATGCACGCGCGTGTGTGCGCTCTCTCCAAAAATCCCGCCATAATCCCACATGTCTACACCCGCTCTGCTCACCACCCATTTCACAGTCACTCTAGAAACTCCCGACCTAAAACACGTTTACAATTCTCCTAATACATCAATGTATAGCCGCAACAAGATGCGCGACGCTGTGTCTAGACTCTAGATAGACTATTACTAAAACAACCCCTAGTCTAGCTCCACTGACTATACTCTATTTAAACATATCTACATCACATATGTTACACAAGGTGTTCTTCCTCTCAGTTACGAGAGGTCTACTGATGGAATGTTATCATATAAAACTATGCTATAATATCTCCCCTCCATATTAAATGGATAATTTTCGCCAATTATTATTGTTCTCGGGGATATTGCGCATGTACGAGCACCGTTTCAGACGTGCAGTACGGACTGAAGAAGACTGGCTAACTATACGCTTGCGAGAGAGAGAAGAGAGAGAGAGAGATGAGAGAGCGAGAGAAAAGAATAGAGAAAGAGAGAGAGACGAGAGAGAGAGTGAGACAGAAGGAGAGATGAGCGAGAGAGAGGTGACGGAGATGAGGAAAGCCGCGCACTAGAAACAGTTAGCTGAGGGACGGTTAACATAATAATGGAGGATGTGAGCGACAGGACGAATGCGAAGCGACGGGGGAAAAAAGTAGGAGTTTTTGCACCCTACAGGCTATCGGGCGCCTGTCCTAATTATTATAAGCTTATTCTCTGTCATACTTTAATGTCCTCTGTTATTAAGATGTTTGCACAGCGGCGTCGCGCGCGGTATACTTGTGTGACTTAATTGCAGCTGGAGGTAGCATCTGAACGGCATTTACAGAAAATTATGGCAATAATTAATTGCCTAAAGAGCAGTACGAGAACATTAAGACTATTATTTGGTTGTAACTACATTTCGTGTTTATTTACCATAATTTTACTATTAAAGTTTCAAGTTGGCCTGTGGCTGCGGCGCGAGCCTGGTAGGACAATGTGACGTCATGAGCGAGTGTCGCTCCACAGGCGTATACTAAATATCCGTGGCCCTTGCATGGTTTTGATACGCTCTTAGTAACTGATAGCCCCGCGTACAGTTTGCGCAGGATATGTGGCGGAGGAGAGGCTATAGCTACTAGAGCTCAGGTTGTGATGTACTTTGATTCCAGCGATGCATCCATAAAAAGCCACAAATTTCAAACACTTTTGTTTTAACAATAAATTCGCATTTTATTTTACATGTATACTTTATAAAAATATTGTGGTGCGACCGCGACCAACACATGTTCGCAGCCCGCCACAACTTTTTTCCTGTTTTTTGCGCCACCGCGAAAAAACGGCGATGGACAGGATGTTTATAGCGGTGGCAGTACCATCGCCGCTAACCGAACGCGAAACTCGAAACCCCAGCGTGAACAAGATTGAAGATGCCACACAACATGCGATGCCGTGTGAGTGCGAACTACAAAATACAAGATTATGTAAATTTAAAGTACATCTGAGGTAGGAGGAATTACTAGTACTACATAAGAATAAATGTACAGAACGGAACATGTGAATTCTCCACGTTCACAGTTTGTTAACTGTGTCCAGTTCGTGGTCAAATAGTGAAAACACTGAATCCAACACAGTTCTCAGTAAACCTAGTGGAGTAGTGCTCATGAGTCATAGGGTCTTACCGTCATGTCCCGTGCCATCGGGTACTGGAGCGGTCGGACTGCGAACGTACCCTGGGTACGGTACAGTATACCGGTATACGTTCCGGCAGTACCCTGGGGGACATAGACCCTATGAGCCCTAGTACTAGTAGTAGTAGTAGCCACAGGGACCTGAGGCGAAAAAAAAAAAAAGTGTTATATATATAGAATAGGGAAGGGATCTAACTCCGCACGCTAGGCGATCACAGTAACCTTTCATTTGAGCTCCAACCACAGACAGAAATTCACACTTATTCTATCAACTTTTGCACCATATCACAGCCAGATGGTATCCACTTCGACCATGCACAACAATTAATCCACCCCTGTACCTCGATTCCACATTAGAGCGTTTAAACTTGTGCAAACCACTGTTTTTGCCCAATGCGGAAAAATTACTTGTCACAACTTGTAACCGAGTCGCGAATAAAAATGGCTAGATCTCAGCAATCAGACAACCGAACACAAAGACCTTGATACCGCGTTTTAACCGTCCGGGATCAGGAAACTGAAAATCCACACGCCGGTTCTTCTCTTCTGGAATTGTCACAACTATTGTTCCAATTTATCAAGACTTTCGTAACTTCCAACGTAAAACAAACCGCCATGATTAGTGAATTAAGAACTACCCCGCACTCAACACCGGCTCGTCGCTGATTAGTCGCAGTAACTCTGCTGTAACTGAAAAAATCAACAAAAGATCAAGGTAAATATCTTCAAGAACTGGAAATTTATCTTTGAACTTTTACCTTGATACCTTACCTTGAGAACATTTACCTTGATTTTTCGTTGATTTTTCAGTTACAGCAGAGTTACTGCCGACTATCAGCGACGAGCCTGTTGAGTGCGGGGGTAGTTCTTAATTCACTAATCATAGCTGGTTTGTTTACGTTGGAAGTTACGAAAGTCTGATAAATTGGACAATAGTTGTGACAATCCAGAAGAGAACGGAACCGCGTGTGGATTTTCAGATTTCCTGATCCCGGACGGTTAAAACGGTATCAAGGTGCTTTTGTGTTCGGTTGTCTGATTGCTGAGATCTAGCCATTTTATCGCGACTCGGTTACAAGTTGCTGACAAGTAATTTTTCGCATTGGCAAAAACAGTGGGTGCCACCAAGTTTAACGGCTCTAATTGTGGAATCGAGTACAGGGGTGCGATTAATTGTTGTGCATGGCTCGAAGTGGATACATCTGGCTTTGATATGGTGCCAAAGTTGATAAGAATAAGTGTGAATTTGTCTTGTGGTTGGAGCTCAAATGAAAGGTTACTGTGATCGCCAGCGTGCGCGGAGTTAGATCCCTTCCCTATTTATATATGATAACACTTTTTTTTTTTTTTTTCGTTTCAGGTCCTGTGGTAGTAGCTATTCTCAACACGAACCTTTCTCCGCTATCCTGGAACTTAGCTATGTATCACAATCTCTGTATTAAACTAATATAACTGTGTTACAAAAATTCCAAGTGACGAGCGGCGGATATATTGAGCGCCATTTCTCGTTGACCTGCTGACGTACGCATTCCCAATGCGCATAGCGCTTTGTGGGTGCCCGAGGCACAGCGAGGTGGCTTCGAAATTGTGTAACAGGTTATAATAGTTTAAAGGAATAATAGGTCCATTGATTATGCCAATGTTGACAAAATGCTAGAGTAACTGGCACCTTGTGTAGTTAATAAGCTACATTACTTTATAGCCAAACGGTATTAGTTTGTCCAATATCACTGCTAATTACTAAGAAATGTCTAATTTGAAATCCACAGTCCAAAAATCAGTTGTTTTACAGTTTCAAACCGCTGCCACGAAGCGGGTGTGATACAGATTTTATAGTGCACCGGACATTTTTGCACGCATGCTCGCGCCGTACGCAATGCTATCCTCATTGACTTTCGTAAACATGGACGCTCGTGATAAGGAACTTTTTGTCAGGGCTGTCCACGAGGTCCGTCAATTAGTACGTGGTGTTTTACTCTATTTCCATGTTTAGTCCGTTGGCCGTGTTACACCGCTGACACCTCCGTTTCATCTGGCGTCCAAAACATACGGGCCGCACGAAATGTTTACGTCATTGCTTGACTCCTGATGACATGTTACGCCGCACGTAAATGATACGTTGATACATATCAACGAACTGATTTCAAGTCTTTGTTTGTAAATGTAACCAGCAGTGACATTGGAGGTAAACTAATACACGTTTGCGTATAAAGTAAGTTAATGTACTTATTAACTACACAAGGTGCAGATACTCTAGCATTCGTCAAAGTTGGATAATCAATGGACCTATATTCCGTTAATACAGAGGTATTGTGATACATAGTAAGTCCCAGGATAGTGGGGAGAAAGGTTCGTGTTTTAGAATAAACCCAGTTTGGAAGTTGTATAGTCTTTGAAAAACGCACCATAAAAACCGCCCTGAGTGAATCACTCAAGGGGCCTCCTCAAAGAAAAAAATAGGCTCGCGTGTGTGACCCTACTCTTGTTGGGTTACATATTGTATCTGGCGACACTCCAGCTTCCAAGAAAACCACAGGCACTTGAGCGTTTCAATAAAATAATGCTAAATAAATACGAAATGTATTTACTACCAAAGTCTCAATGTTTCTATACTTCTCTTTCACTTATTATGCCGGACAATTTCCTGTAAATGGCTCAAAGCTCATCGCTGCAACAAACGCTGGCTGCCGCCATGGCTGCGCTGCACACTGACAGTGAACATAATATATAGTAATATATAAATTATATTATATTACAGGGTCGAAATTAACGGGTGTCCGGACGTCAAATACTTGCCTGATTTACTGTCGGACTCCACACGCAGCCAGCACCAGATTTGTTACTATGGATGCTGGGGCTGTTGCGGGATATTAGCATAGAATTGTTTATGCAGTGTGTATTTGTGTTTCCAGCGTGCTAAAAATATATGTGTGCTCAAGGCGAGCTAGCAGGTGATTTAGCTGTGTTGTTGGCATCGTGTTCTTGATGATAATGAGCGAAACAATAGTGCTGTTACTGTTGCTTGCCTAATATCCCCCAAAGCCCGCAGCGTCCGTAGTAACAATCTGGTGCTGCCCGCGCTATATCAAGTTAGTCGGAGAGATCGAAATCACGGGGAAAACTGTGTGAAACCGTGTTGTATTTCAAAAACTTTGTTTGAAGAACACATATGATTTTCACGGTAAACTAGTGGTGTCATATGATTAAAGGAGATCAAATTTGGAATCCTATTGCAATATATGTGAAAGAGTTTGATTAAACAATTAATCGTCTATACCCACATGTATTGTCACCAGATACTTAATTAATTATTACACATCAACGCTTACGAAATTTTGAACGGGCGCCATGACACCGCGACCGTGCTGCCACCCTGAAAAAGTTGCGTATTTGCATTTTTATTTTGCAGGTAAATGGACGAGGGCTAATCACAAAAGTGCAATTATATTTATACCTAAATGCTATTTAACCGAACGATATTCATTTTAGGGCAAATTTATCCATATTATAAACTGAAACTATATGTCGTTTATAAGATATTACAATCCTTTTGCTTTTAAATGAATAAATAAGAAATGACCCTCGGTCTGTACTGTAGCCCTTGCTGGAAAGTGGTTTTGCGCAACTTCTCAGATCGTGCGCTTGAGTGGCGCCACCGTCGTTGTAATCAAACTGTAGTCGTTAGTTTTAAAACATAAAAAAAAAAATATTTCTAATGGTGATTGAACCATGAAACTTTTTATGTAGCGCAATTATAACCTAAATTAGCTGAAAATAACCCTAGAACCTAGAGGCTACTGTTCCTTTAACATTATATTAGTTGTTCCCTTGGGAAAACGTGCATGTCATAACAATACACGTATGCACGCACCCACACACCACAATATTCCATTTTCAAGAGAGCTTCCAAAGCACATTGTAATTGGTCTGACTGAACATCAACTCTTTGTCTGTTTATAATGAAATGAATCTTTTCAGATGGGTGAAAGTCCAACGTCTTGTGAAATCTGTCATGTTAACTTTGACAGCAGAGAGGTAATCAAGCCTATGCCTATGCAACTAACCCCACTCTGTGACATTATTACATTAGAAGTTTGAATGAGGGATTCTATATTATGTTGCCATATTTATTATTCATCACAATTTTTGAGGTAAAGTTTAAAAAAAAGTACAATATTCTTAGAAATGTTTTTAGGACGTTCAGTAGCATGCTTGAACTTTTTCTGCACTACATCAGAATAGAGCAAAAAATATAGATGGGCAGGTAAATGTCACGAAGACACTAAAAATGTACGATGTTCTTAAAAACATTTTAGGATTTTCAAGAGCACACTTGGTCTTTTCTGCACCACATCAAGATAGAGAAGAAAAACAAGTAGGTATATATCACGCATGAGCCATAAACCTTCAAACGCATTTTGTGTGCAGTCTCATCGATACTTGTATGAATGATTATGGTTGTGTATTATTATGATTATATATGACATGTATGATTATATATATATGATTATCATTATAATGTATTAGTAATAAGGTCTTCAGTAGTCTGCATGCAGAGGATATTGTAATATCGATGATGCAATAAGTGTCACGGATTTTTATTACATGATGACAGGGGTTTGAAACACCGCTGCACTCTGTGTAAGAATGTCTCTAGCACACTGAAGGATTATAACAGCCACCTTGAGGAAGCACGGCACGGTAAGGCCTTGCTACAGTTGCGCAAAGCACAAGGACGAGAGCCGGCCAAGGTTGATCCGAAAAAAATCAGGTATGCATTGTAGAATGAACGTGCGTGTGCTCATGTATGTATATGTATGTATATATATATATATATATATATATATATATATATATATATATATATATATCTTGTACATACATTATTGTAGTTTGTAATAAAAAAATCCGTGAAACTTGTAAATGAAACCCCAAGTATACATAAATCTCTTAATTTCAAGCAATAGTTTTTTGCTTGACCGATGGATATTTACGGACAAATAAATGTGCTTTCTTATATAAATAATAACAGAAACTGATTGCTACAGATAAAGAAATATCGAGGAACTTTGTACCGTTGATCATATCACTGAGTCTGTGATCTTGAGGCCACATGTTTTTCCGTAATCTGTCTATTGTTTTGCTTTCAGGAATACGAGTGCCGTGTCACATGAAGGGCTGCCTCAAAGCGTCAACAACAGAGAGGAACCCGTGGCTGAGAAAAGACAGCCGTGGCACAACGGCTGGTCAGACTTTCCGAAATATCCCACGAGGCTGAACGAACCACCTCCAAGTTTATTCAACTTAAGATTTGATCATTATAGCAGAGGAGGTCCACGTGATGATGAATTAAGACTAGGTAGAACACCACCAACACAGCAGATTTATTGGAACGACGGTGCCATGCACCAGAACTCCAGAAATCCGGGCAGGGAGTGGATGAAAAGGAACAGTGCAGACAGAGGTCGTGGCTGGGGTAACGCTGCGTCTAAACACAGCCTGTCGTGGTGGAACCAGAACACTGGACACGGTGCTCCTGGTTGTGGCGGCGGCGGCAGTGGTAATACCTACTGGCAACGTTGGTCGAACCCCCAAGACTATCATCACCAGCAAAACGACGCAGCCTACGAGAGGAGACGCGGAGACGAGGGATGGCAGCAGCCTCATTACGACAGCAGAGGCACCACGGCTCCGCGCGACCCATTCTACCAAGACAGGTCATACGCGCCGCTTTTCACCGACTTCGGGCCGCGATCGCAGGCCGCTGCAACACGAAATATCGAGCGCGAGTCTATCAGAAAGCCACCACTACTCGCTACACCGGTGCGAAGCGAACCCGCGGGTGTTAATTCCCACTCACGCGATAACGGATCGCAGTTTTTGGCAGACAGCAGGCAAGAGAGACTCGGCATTTCGAACGAACGAGCGGAGAAGGTTTGCGCGAGTGGTGCATGTGAGACGTCGGGCGGGGGTCGGCGGCCGGTGGGGGCGGCAGACAGCAGGCAAGAGAGACTCGCCGTTTCGAACGAACGGACGGAGAAAGTTCGCGCAAGTGGAGGTCGACAGAATGCGGGGTCGGCAGGGGAGGAGCACAGCAGTGTGGTGTCAAGCACCAACGATTTGTTCTTCATAGACACGAAGGGAGATCCGACGATGCGCAGCGCGCGTCCTGAGGAGAAACAACGCGAAGAGAAGCTGACGAAAAGTAGCAGAGCGCAGCCGAAACAACAGTCGAAGAAAACCCGCGCCTCTCCCACCTTGAAACAGGAGAAATGTAAGAGAACGAACGCGGAGGTCAAAGGCGGGGCGCGCACGGCAGTACGTCCCACGAAAGTTCCCCGCTCTGCGAGTCGCCAGAAAGGGAGTAGCTCTGAGGGAAGCGGAGTGACGGATGTTGCCTTGCAGCGCAGAGGGAAAGAGTTAAGAAAGGGCAGCAACGGGAAGAGCGGGGAGGCTGCCGTAGCGTGCAAACCGGGGAAGATCGCAGAATGCGCGACGACGGCAGGCGAAGTGGGAAAGCCCACGAATGAGGTCACGCAGCCCGAGAAACGGATGCAGGAGATCGGTAAAGACACGAGAAGAACAGAGGGTTTCGTAGCGACCACGGTAGTGAAACGTGAGATGGAGGAGCAGCACGGGAGGAGGGACACGGAGGAGAGCAGTGGAAGAGAAGAAGAAGACGAGTGCAGGAAGAAGGAGGTTGCAGAGAGAAGAGCAGTGGTGAGAGCTGTGAAGAAACCGGTAACGAAAGCTGAGCTGATGAAGATGGTCACGATGCCTCGATCACGGATGCAACGCATGCAGCTCACACACTTCGTCAAGGTTGGTTGGCTGTATCAGAATATCTAAGTCGTTCGCAAGCATGTGAATGGGTTTGTCATCGTACGCCTGTGCAGTGTGTCTTTCCTGCTACCTCATTTCTAATCGCTTCTGTTTCTTCAGTTGGCCACATGCATTAATTTGCATGCATTACTTTTTCCTGCATTGAATAGTTGGACATTCTGTACCTTGGGCAAATTGTAACTCGTGGGCAGTGTAAATCCTTCAGGCTTTACTAGCAGGACACCATTCAGTAACCTAGTCATAAAGATCATTGAAGTAGATGTTATAAATGGTCAATAAATTATTAATGCATGATGGGTACTTTCCCTTGTAAAGTGGTGCACTGCATTTCGCTCGCTATTTCTATGCATTCTCATGGCATTCTTGTTGTCATTTTCTTTTTTTTGAAATAGTGTATTTAAACTGCATATATTAGAGGAAGAGGAAAGGGAAGAGTTGAAGGGAAAAAATCACGATTGAAGTAATGCCATTGATAATTACAGTGCTACACAGCCAGCAAGAAAATGTCACTACCACGTTTCAACATCAATATGGGCACGTCGGAAATGGTCCTCGATTCGGCTGGGCAGCGGTGTTCGGCGAAGAAAGAAGCCATGGTATCCGAGGAGATGTTAGAACTGCCTGCAGAGTTTGCTGATTTAGGTATGGTTATTTTTAGTCATCGACTCGATAGAGATGACTATGAGCAATTGTGTAGGTCGTTAGCTCCACAATAGTGCCACAACAGGTTGTACATTTCGCACATGCGTTTCTGAATGCCCCAGAAATTTTCATTGTTGAACGTGTGTTGACGCCTGTTTTAGCGGATCTAGAGTTGCCAGACAGCATCTGGAGCGAAATACAGGACATACTGCAGCAGGAATCGTCCGGGTTTACGGAAGAATCTTCGTCTGACAGTAACATGCCCGCGCACAATTCTGAACAGGTTTGTGGTCAGCACATAAGTACTATAGCTATATATATATAGAGAGAGCATTATTTAATAGTTACCTAGATGCCAAGCAGTTTCAACAACGGGAAGTTATAGGTAACTAAATATACTATATAACTATATAGGAAATAGGTATATTCAGGAAGATATATAGGTAACATTCTAAGTGTGTTCTAACTCGTGAAATTAACATTTTGTGCCCGTTCACTTCAGCACACAACTTCCAATTTTTGAGTTACGCATTAATATTATCAAGAGCTAATAAATACCTAGAGTGTACAACGGAAAAACGGGAAAATAGTGCTATTTCACGGCAATATTATTCTACTTTGCCTGCGAGTCTAGAATAATTTTATGGTATTGCATTAAGCAGAATTGTTTGCTCTCTAAAACAAGACCAACCGCTTGTCAATACGATACTCCTAGGCTGAGATATTGGCTCGTAAACTTCCCCTCCCACAGGCCTCACGGCACCTTGCATCCACAATATTCACTATCCTTCTCGCCTTTTGCGGGTTAGGAAAGTGGCTTCGTGAGAGTTCGGTTTTTTCCGCGATAACTGTATGAATGAACGGCGTTTCGGTTATCATCGGTGACTTTCGGGGGCATCGCCTATGCCCTTATCTCCCATTGTCTTTCCTAGCATGGCTAATGCCCGTCATGATGGGGCCGGCAATGTTTTCTAAATTAAGTCTCTGCAACGCAGCTCAGTTACTATATGGTGTAGTAAGAGTACCAAATTTTAGATAGCCAGAATCTGGTTATTAAAATCTTATTAATAGATTTAGATATCTGGAAAACGATAGCCAGACCCGCAAAAGGCGAGAAGGATAGTGAATATTGTGGATGCGAGGTGACGTGAGGCCTGTGGGAGGCATGATTACGCTCCAATATCTCGGCCTAGGAGTATCGTAGAGACAAGCGGTTGGTCTTATTTTAGAGAGCAAAGAATGCTGCTTAACGCAAAACCATGAACTTAGTCTAGAACTGCTTACAAAGTAGAATAATATTGTAGTGAAATAGCAATATTTCCCCGTTTTCCCGTTGTACACTCTAGGTATTTATTAGCTCTTGATATTATGCAGTGACATGTTTGAATTGCATCCGGTGTTAGTACGTAATTTTGCCGCAGCCGCGATTTAACGTTTTGCCCGCACACACCAGGTGGCACTGGCGAGGGCTCGTGCACCGGCTGCGGCCGTCGCCGCTGTGGGTGTCTCGGTGAAGATGGAGGATCCTGGGGAGGATAACGATTACTCCATGCTGGATGAGTATCTGATGATGGAAGCTGAGTCCGGGGGCCACGGCGACAGTGGAGGAGGCACACCGCTACACGCTCTCCCCATCACAGGTTGTATGCAGTTTGTTCATCCAGTGAACTCTACGATCGGTGAATTAGATTGTTATTCTCACTCTTGTATATCAGATCAGTGAAATAGCAAGGAAGATTAGAAGTAATCTGATTGTTAAGAGCAAGAGACAACGTGACATATAATATAATGTATGCGACATGCCAATCGAAAGAGCCCGCGTCATTTTCAGGTCAGATCAGATCAGATCAGTGAATTAGCGAGTCAAGAGTATGAGAGTAAGATTAGGAAGAGAATCAGATTGTTAAGAGTTAGAGACAACGTGACATATAATATAACGTATGCGGCATGCAAATCGAAAGCGCGCGCGTCATTTTTGTTAACTTGCATGTCTAAAGTAGCAAACACGTTTGTTAAAAGTGCGTAGTCACGTACGTGTCATGTTAAATCGTCTTGATCACATCGAGAAGGTTTGAAAATTGCATTTTTTAAACTGCAGCGTTATCTTTTAGGGAAGATGGCCGACGCTCCATCGGCTACAAATCAGCACGGTACGATCAGCGAGGGAAACAAGCGCGCATCCAAGGGTCCGCCGCCTGCCGTCTGTTCCTCGACCAGCATCGACGCGGAGGGGAAGACCGGGCTTCCTGTCGTCGCGGTGATGGAGGGGCCGCCAGGGGACGCCGGCTTGGATGGCAGCGACAAGATGGAGGCGGCACTGAGCATTGAGGCTCTCCTCTCAGCGGAACTCACGGAGTTTTCGGGCGGCGTCGATGTCTGGGACGCATCGACAAAGCCGGCGAGTCAGCCGCCCGCGGATCGAAAAGCGAATCTGAAGGTGGATCCTGATTCGGCGGAAAGTCGGATGGTGCCGCCTCGCAACAGCAGCGCCCCCTGCCCGGGCTCGCGCGATTTCAACACGGTCATCGCGTGCATAAAGCGTGAGCTGAAGGAGGATGCCTGCGAGAGTGAGGCGGGGGTCTCTCTCATGGAGGAAGAGGACATCACGACGACGTCTGGCCGGCGGGAGAGAGCCCCGGATGCGCGGGAAGCGTCCGGTGCTATCCGCGTGCGAAGCAGCGTCAATGCAACTCTTCCTGCAGGCGCAGTAGATCAGACATCTTCTGCAGGAGACCAGAGTACACCGAACAGCGAAACTGCTGGGACGACTTCGCCATTCGTAGACAACACGTGTGATTCCCACAGTAGAGGTGCGTCCGTATACCATACTAGCGCATATACATCACAGCATGCGGCTGGCTCCACTACACACGGAACCCCCAACAGCACTGCGGTGGGGTCGCAAGGTGGTGCCGATACATCGCGTGACGCACGCACACGCGATCTACCGACGCCGCCGACGCCACGTACGGTCGACTCGCCGGTTTCCGCCACTGGGGGCGCCAGCGTTGCTCGTCGCGCGGGAAGCGTCGATGGGCGGGCATTGCTCTCTGACGAACAAGCGAACGCTCGCAGCATTCTCGCGTCTCCGCCGCTGAGCGAGGGGCAGGCGAGTCACGGTGACCGGCTGCTGATGATATCCGTGGAGGAGGAGGAGGCGAAGGAGGAGAGGAGGGCAGCGGAGATGCACCACACTTACCTTAACGCCGTGCTGAAACAAACGGAGGAAGCAATCCGAGAAAACAAGGCCAAGATGGATTCGGTATTTATTTATTTCTTCTTATCTATTTATTGTTTTATATTTATTTCGGTATGTCCGCTGATTTAAAAAAATATTTTTGAGCGTGTTGCGCATTCCTGAAATGCTTGAATCATATCTAAGACTGACTATCATAGTGCTTCTTATGTGGTCTGTTAAGAAATGCAGATGAAAGTTACATTAGATAAAGGAAGGGTGGTAAAGTGAAGGCGTGTAAGTGTGAAGTAAAGGAATTTACCGCTCTTTATACCAGAGTACTTTATTGTTTTGCCAGTTGATACAACGAGAGAGTGAGCTGCATCAGGAAAGAAAGCAAATCGTGCAAGGTGAGTATTTTCTACAATGTAGAATAGTGATGTCACGATCATCGATTATACTCGATCATCGGTTGAACAGTGGCTCGAACCAAGCGCTTAGTGATGTCACGATCATCGATTATACTCGATCATCGGTTGAACAGTGAGCTATCGGGCGCTCTCCTAATTATTATATAGTTATTCTTGTCATCTTAATTCTCTTTATTATAGATGTTTGTGCACAGCGGCGTGCGCGCGGTATACTTGTGTGTTAATTGCAGCTGGAGGAGCATCTGAACGACATTTACAGAAAATTATTGGCAATAATTAATGTGCTAAAGAGAGTAGAGAAACATTAAGACTTTGTTTGGTAGTAAACACATTTCGTGTTTATTTACCATAATTTTACTATTAAAAAGTTCTAAGTGCCTGTGGCTGCGGCGGCCTGACAAGACAGATGTGACGTCATGAGCGAGTGTCGTCCACAGGCGTTACTAAATATGCCGTGGACCCGTGGTTGTTGATGTACTTTGATTCCAGCGATCAATAAAAGGCCACAAATTTCAAACACTTTTGTTTTCACAATAAATTTTCATTTTATTTTACATGTACACTTTATAAAAAATGGTGATGCGCCGCAACCAACACATGTCGCAGCCCGCCACAACTTTTTTCCTGTTTTTGCGACCGCGAAAAAACGGCGATGGACAGGATGTTATAGCGGTGGCAGTACCATCGCGCTAACCAAAGCGGAAACTCGAAACCCCAGCGTGAACAAAGTTGAAGATGCACACAAACATGCGGCGTGTGAGTGCGAACTACAAAATACAAGATTATGTAAATTTAAAGTACATCTGAGGTAGGGAATTACTAGTACTACATAAGAATAAATGTACAGAACGGAACATGTGAATTCTCCACGTTCACAGTTTGTTACCTGTGTCAGTTCGTGGTCAAATAGTGAAACACTTTGAATCAACAACAGTACACTGTACAGTAGGCCTAGTCACGAGTCATAGGGTCTACCGTCTATGTCCCCCAGGGTACTGCCAGAACGTACCCTGGGCGCTGGTACGGTCGCCGTATAACCGGAACGACCACTGGTCACTTAATGGTTAAGATTAGGTTTCGTGTGTTAGGGCGGGTGCTGTAAGGCGACTCCCGAGAAACTCCGTTAGTGGAGTAGGCGAGGTACGTCCGGCATAAATGACTTAGATAGTACCAGGGACGTTCCGCAGTACACCGCGGCTGGAGCATGACGACCCCTCTTCAGCCAAACAGTACTTATAGGCTCCCCTAGAGCGCTAGTAACTGCTGAGAGGGTCTATGTCCCCCCAGGTACTAGCGGAAACGTCACCCTGGGTACGGTACCAGTAACCGGTATACGCGTCCGGCATGTGACCCTGGGAAGAGAGAGACCCTCTATGAGCCCTAGTACTAGTAGCAAGGGTCCTCCCAACTACGTGCGCGCTACATATTATTAGGCGCTGGCGCCATTCGTAAATTACGTCGGCCCGTTTCAAATCGTTAGAACGCCCCGTTTAATTAGCTCGTCCGCCCGATTCAAATTCCACGACCACAATAAAAAAGTTTCAGCACGAGCTTGCATGGAACAGAGATGTCGCAGTGCAAGAATTCCCATCCGCGAGGACACCTTCTCGGAAGTGCTCGTGTATATTTTATCAAAGTATCCGAACGCAGCACTGCAGACTCAAGCACACAATACACAACAGTTAGCCTGTCCGCGAACCCCAACACTAACCTGTACAAACGCCGACTGCGGCTATCTATATATACAAGAACGCCGCCCCCAAATACCGTCCTATGGTGTGGTGGCAGATTTTACGCATTAATTTAGTGTACGGTAAAGAAAACACGCCCGCCCGGACCGGACTCGGGCCCCTAGATATCCAGCCCTTCCTTCCCCCCTTGTAGCCCCCCACACCACCTCCCCTCCCACTGTTTCAATTTCATACGCTGGGAGGAACCCTGAGTAGTAGCTATTCTCAACACGAACCTTTCTCCGCGCTCATCGCTGGAACTTACTATGCTATCCACATAAACCTGTATTAAAGTAATATAACGTGTTACAAAATTCGACAGTGAGGGCGGCGGATATGTTGAGCGCCATTTCTGAGTTGACCCTTGTGACGTACGCACTTCCCCAACTGCACATATGCGGCTCGGATGGTGCCCGAGGCATCACGCGCAGAGAGGTGGCCGAACGCTATGGCCATCAACGCGCAAGTCTATCATCATGATTTTGTAAACACGGACGCCTCGTGACTGAAGGAACTTGTCTGTTCCAGCTGTCCTCAGAGCGTTTCTGTGATAGTACGTGTGATTTAATCTCTAACTTTTCACATGTTTTAAGTCTGTGGCCCTGGTACGTTACACCTTGCTGACACCGATCCATGCATCGAGGCGTCCAAAACATACGTGCCGCGACAAATGTTATACGTCAGTGCGCTTGACTCCTGGATCGACGCGATTCTACGGGCAGCGTAAATGATACGTTGATGCACATATCATCACAACTGATTTCAAGTCTTCGCTTGTAATGTAACCAGGGCTAGTGACAATTGGACAAAACTCCATACGCACAATTTGGCTATAAGGTAACCTGTACCGATCTAACACGTAACACGAAAGCTGCTAGTTTTGTAGCCAACCCCACCCTCTAGCGATTACCGTCAACAATTGCAAATCGATGGCCTATTATTCCTTTAAATACAGAGTATTGTGATCCATAGTAAGTCCCAAATAGTGAGGAAAGGTTCGCTGTTGTAGAATAACACCCAATTGGAAGTTTGCTAGTCTCGAAAAACGGCAACCCTAAAACTGAATCAGCTCAGGGCTCCTCCAAAGAAAAGCATTCGCCTCGCGTTGGACCCTACTCTTGTTGGGTACACTTATTGTATCTAGACACATCCAACTTCCAAAAAACAACACTAGGCACGTTGAGCGTTCAATAGTAAATAAATGCTTAAATCAATACGAAATCTATGTACTTACCCCAAGTCCTTAATGCTTTCTCTACCATTCTTTCTACACTAGTTAATTGCATCGACAATTTCCTGTAAAGCGCGCCAAATGGTCCATCTGCAACCAAACGCTGGCTCGCCGCTGCACACTGACAGTGACACAAATCAGAGTAATATATAAAAATATAGTACAAGGGTGCGAAATTAACGGGAGTCGCGTAGTCGAAATACTTCCTGATATTACTGTCGACTCCGCTAACGCGGCACACCAGAATTGTACTATTGCTGGATGCCGGGGGCTGTTGGGGATATAGGTATCGGAATTATATGCAGTGTTATTGTTTTCCCAGCGTGCTAGAAATAAATGTGTCTCATGCGGCGAACTATGCAGCTGAATTTTAGGGCGCTGTCGTGCCGTCGTGTTCCTGAGTGATATTGAAGCGAACAAGTGCTGTTACTGTCTTGCCCTAATACCCCCAAACAGCAGCCCCCGAGCGTTGTCCCGTAGTAAAACAAATCTGGTGGCTGCCCGCGCTATAGTCAAGCGTTTAGTCCGGAGAGATGCAAAATCACCGGGGAAAAACTTGTGTGAAACCGGGTCGATTCCAAATAACTTTTTGAAGAACACAGTGAACGGTTCTCAGTGTAAACTAGTAACGCAGTGTTCATAGTGATTTAACAGGAGACCAATTTGCAATCCCTTATTGCAATATATGTGTAAAGGAGTTTGATTACACCAATCTATCGTCTATACCCACATGTAATTTGTCACCCAGATAGCTTAATTAAGTATTTACACATCAACAGGCTATTACGCAAATTTGAAACGCGCCGATGACACCCTGCGACGCCGTGGGCTGCCCACCGTGACGTGGAAAAACCTTGCGTATCCTTGCATTTTTATTTCTGGGCAGAAGTACGCGTGGTGAGAGCTAATCACAAACGTGCAATATAGTTTATACCTACAATTGTCATTTGTATAAGGTCGAAACGATATTATTTAGGGCAAATTTATTCGCATGATAACAGAGCTGAAACTATATGTCGTTTATAAGATATTACAATCCTTTTGCTTGAAACCTGAACTAAAATAGAGAAATACCTCGCTCGGTACGTTACTGTTAAGCCCTTGGCTGAAAGTGTTTTGCGCAACCTTTCTACTAGATCGTGCGCTGTTGATGGCGCCACCGGTCGTGTAATCAAACGTAGGCGTGAGTTTTAAAACAATAAATAAATAAACATAAATTTCTAATGGTATTGAAGCCATGAAACCTTTTTATGTCAGCGCAAATAGTACACCTAAATTAGCTGAAAAAACCCTAGAAGCCTAGACGCTACCTGTTCCTTAACATTATATTAGTGTCCCCTTGGGAAAACGTGCGATGTGCATAACAAGACTATCGTAGCACGCACGGCCAACACCACAACTATTCCATTTTCAGGAGAGCTTCCCAAAGGAGCATTGTACAGTTGGTCTGCACTGAACAGCATCAACTCTTTGTCTGTTATAATTAAGAGATGAATTGCTTCAGATGGGGAAAGTCCAAACGTCATTGTGAAATCTGTCATGTTAACTTTGACAGGAGAGAGGTAATCAAGCCATATACTATGAACTAAACCCCTGACTCTGTGAGCATTATATCATTAGAGAGTTTGAATGAGTGATCTCTCCTATATTAGTTGCCATATGTTATTATCTCATTGCCAGCAATTTTGAGGTCCAGTTACAAAAAACAGTACACATGATCTGAGAATGTTTTAGCTGTCAGTTACATGCGTTGAATTTTTTGATAACTCAGTGAACTAGACGCCAACAGCTGCGTTAAAATAATTGGGGCCATAAAGTCACAGAATCAACCCAAGTAAAATTTAACGATGCGCGCTTGCGCTAAAGTGTCGCTCACATTTTAGGATTTTATCCAGAGCACATCCACATTGGTCTTTTCCTGCAGTCCCACAATCAAGATAGCACGACAAAACAAGTTAAGGTATGAGTTATAATCACCACTACCAGACCCGTCTTCAATCAAAACTGGGATGCATTTG